GCCCCGGCCTTGCTGCTGCAGCAGCCACATCCCTGGCCCTGGCTTCGCTACCAGGGCTGCCAAATCCCCGGCCCTGCTCCTGATGCTACAGCAGCCCCAGCTGCGCTACTGGGACTCCATCCCCAAACCCAGCCTCCGTCCCACTGGGCTCCAAGCCACCAGCCCTCTTGCCACTGGGGCTCCCAGCCAGGACTCCCTGGTCCAGGAACACCCATGATGTTGCCGGATGACAGAGTCCTGGTTTTGAGAGATCCAACCTGAATTACGAAACCTTTCTAACGAAGGGTAATTAAGCTCTGGAAGAGGCTTCCAACGGAGGCTACAGAATCCCCATCATTAGAGATTTTTAATAACAAGGACAAGTAACTGCCAGGAATGGCCTAGGTATAGCTCGCCTTGAGCAGAGCAGGGGGATGAACTAGATGAAGACTTGAGGTCCAGTGGAGCAGTAGGAGTCTATGATTTTTGATAGACAAGTAAAATATTTCACATTACAACTGAATTTGGGGAGCTGCACTGCCTGAGCCCTCATTGACTTTGACCCTCTGCAAAATCCAGCCAAGAAGAGCAGTCCAGAGCAGCTGAGGATGTCTCATTAGTTAACTCCAAGCTGTCAGATGGGAAGAAAAGGGCTGGAGATGATTGGGAGATACTGAGAAGCTAGCGCTAAAAACAGAACTTGCCCTCACCACGTAGTGGTAACCCAGCCATTCCTTCCCCGCTATACACATGCATAAGTTACATCAGTTTGGGCTGAGATGGGGACTGGGAGGGAGGGAGACAGAGGAGGAACAATCTTTGGTTTGTGGCATAACATCACATTTTCCCCTAATTCAAGCACTTTTAATGCCCTCTGCATTTCCTTACCTTCAACCCCCACCAAGTTCCTGAAATGTCCCTGCTTGGGTACTCTTCTAAGGACCCTAGCCAGCTTTATTCCTCTGTCATCCAGTGAGCCACTGAGAGAGTTTTATCAGATCCTTCTGGTCAAACTCTAGCCTGTCTAGAAAGTTCATTGGTTATTGCACATCTAAGCCTCAAGACATCCATCAACAGTCACTGGTCCATCTTTTTAACTGACAGCCTCTTTGTCATGAGCCAATACATGCTGCTCATCTGAGCTGTCTTGCTTCTTCTTCTGCTTCAGGTCATACTGGAAGCATGGGAGAAAGGGGTCCACCCAGAAGGAAACTCTACCAACCCCAGCAACTGGGACTTCAGCAACTCTTTCTTCTTTGCGGGAACTGTTGTCACAACTATAGGTGAGGTAGCCTCCCTTCCTATTCGGTCTTTCTCTGTCGGTAGATGTTCCCTCCAATTGGTTTGTGAACCACTGGCTCACACAACTGCTGATTTGGCCAGACCTCTCAGGAGAGTCTCTACCAGTGCGGGGACTATCTAAAAGACCGCATCTTTAGTCAGCCTCCAGCGCTGAATGTTTATGTTCAAAAGTGGGCACCATTCTGCATCTACAAAGCCTTTGTTTGCATATGCAAATTGGGCGACTACTCTGTGTGTGCAAGACACGTACAGAATCTGCTTACACAAACTATTTTGAATTTGTCCCAAAATTGAAAAAAATCACCTCCTAATAAGGCATCTTTAAATAATAATAATAATTTGTCACATCCAGTGTTCTTTTGATAGTGACAATGATTTGGGGCCTAAGGAGCCCCTGTGCCAATTGCTGTAGCCTGAATTCTGTTTAGAAAGGTGTAGAGAAGCATCCAGACCTCTGGGCCTTCATGGAACTGAACTAAACTGAGCTTCCAACCCTTTGCCCAGCAGAATGACTATACAGCCTTTGAATGTAAGCAGACTGTGAGGGACTCCAAGAAGATCTCACCAAACTGAGTGATTGGGCAACAAAATGGCAAATGAAATTTAATGTGGATAAGTGTAAAGTAATGCACATCGGGAAAAATAACCCCAACTATACGTACAGTATGATGGGGGCTAATTTGGCTACGACAAATCAGGAAAGAGATCTTGGAGTTATCGTGGACAGTTCTCTGAAAACTTCCACGCAGTGTGCAGCGGCGGTCAAAAAGGCAAATAGGATGCTAGGAATTATTAGGAAAGGGATAGAAAATAAGACCCAGAATATCTTACTGCCCCTGTATAAAACTATGGTACGCCCACATCTTGAATACTGTGTACAGATGTGGTCTCCTCACCTCAAAAAAGATATTTTGGCCTTGGAAAGGGTTCAGAAAAGGGCAACTAAAATGATTAGGGGTTTGGAACGGGTCCCATATGAGGAGAGGTTAAAGCGACTGGGACTTTTCAGTTTAGAAAAGAGGAGACTGAGGGGGTATATGATAGAGGTCTATAAAATCATGAGTGGTGTGGAGAGGGCTGATAAAGAAAAGTTATTTATTAGTTCCCATCATATAAGAACTAGAGGACACCAAATGAAATTAATGGGTAGCAGGTTTAAAACTAATAAAAGACAGTTCTTCTTCACACAGCGTGTAGTCAACCTGTGGAACTCCTTGCCAGAGGAGGCTGTGAAGGCTAGGACTATAACAGAGTTTAAAGAGAAGCTAGATAATTTCATGGAGGTTAGGTCCATAAAAGGCTATTAACCAGGGGATAGAAATGGTGTCCCTGGCCTCTGTTTGTCAGAGGCTGGAGATGGATGGCAGGAGACAAATCGCTGATCATTGTCTTCAGTCCACCCTCTCTGGGGCACCTGGTGCTGGCCACTGTCGGCAGACAGGCTACTGGGCTAAATGGACCTTTGGTCTGATCCATTACGGCCGTTCTTATGTTCTTATGTTCCTTTTTTTCTCTTCTTCACTGCAGGTTATGGTAACTTGGCCCCCAGTACGGTGGCTGGGCAGGTGTTCTGTGTGTTTTATGCCTTGTTTGGGGTGCCGCTTAACCTGACCTTTCTCAATCAGCTGGGAAAAGCACTCAACGCACACCTGATCACTCTTGAGAGATGGGTGCATAAGCCAGGCCGGGCACAGGTACAGTGTCCCTTTATCATTGGTCCGCATCTATTTTAAAGCTAATTGTTTTTCACATACAGATGGCGCTTAGGGCCACACTGCTGTTTATTTGTCTGTATCACCTGGGACACAGTAATCATATCTTCTCCCTAGCAAGAAGCTGACATGTCATGTTTATAGATGAGGATTTGGAAGTAATTTGCTCTTGTCTGAAGAAAAGGATCTTTGCCCATCCTAAGCCCTGATTCACCAAAACCTATTAGCATGGTCTTAACTTTGAGCCTGTGCCCAAATCCCATTGACTTTAACATACCACAAGCATGTACTTATGTGCTATACTGAATCAAGCCTTAGTAGTTTAAAACTACAGAAGAAACTCAGAGTTATGAATGGAGGAGGCTGATTGTAACACTGAACAAAATGATATGATTTTCTTGTAAATTTTTACAACTGACAATTCACTCAATACATCTTTGAAATTTTACTATGTGGAAGAAAAATGCTGCTTTCCCTTTATTTTTTAGTAGTTTACAGTTAACAGAGTATGGTACTTTATATCTTTCTCTTTCTCCTGCAGCTGCCCAGTCACACACTTCTGGACCCAAAGGAGATGTGTGGTTAATTGTGTAGCTTATAATTCTGGTGCTCATAACTCTAAGTTTCTACTGTATGCCAAGACAACTTCATTTTTATTGGTCCATTCTCATCTGACATCCCTTCACCAGTTGGCCCAGCATCTCTGCACTTAATTTCACTCTGTTATTCTCTTTTACCGTAATTCTAGATATTCACTCATGGTGGGTAAGGTCTGTCAGTGGGGGTGTGTCTAGACTACATGCCTCCTTCGACGGAGGCATGTAGATTAGCCAGATCGGCAGATCGGGGCAGCCATTTAAATTTAAATGGCTGCCCCGATCTGCCGATCAGCTGTTTTGCGGCAGATCGGGGGAGTCTGGACGCGATGCCCCGATGAAGAAAGGCTTCTTTGTCGGGGCATCGCGTCCAGACTCCCCCGATCTGCCGACAAACAGCTGATCGGCAGATCGGGGCAGCCCTTTAAATTTAAATGAAGCCGCGATTAAAATAATCACGGCTTCATTTAAATTTAAAGGGCTGCCCCGATCTGCCGATCAGCTGTTTTGCGGCAGATCGGGGGAGTCTGGACGCGATGCCCCGATGAAGAAAGGCTTCTTTGTCGGGGCATCGCGTCCAGACTCCCCCGATCTGCCGACAAACAGCTGATCGGCAGATCGGGGCAGCCCTTTAAATTTAAATGAAGCCGCGATTAAAATAATCACGGCTTCATTTAAATTTAAAGGGCTGCCCCGATCTGCCGATCTGGCTAATCTACATGCCTCCGTCGAAGGAGGCATGTAGTCTAGACACACCCTAAGTTACACAGTCTGAATCAACCCAGATTTTGAAAAACAGGGTACATGGAGAAAATGTGTTTCTGAATAAAGAGTCAGTGACTGGCCCCTGAAATTGGAGATAAAAGATAAGACTCTCAAATACTCTATTGGTGAATCTATGGCCCATTCAGAACCTCCAACACATCATTTTCTCACGGTGGAGTCTGTCTGTCTGTCTGTCTGTCTGTCTCTCTGAACCACTCATTATATCTAGGACCAGCTTTAACTGCTTATTCACTTTGAAAGTTACAATCCAGGAAAATAGGTTACCTTTGCTCAAACATCTTTTAAAACTAGTGTTAGGAAATTAATTGATTTTGTTTCTAGCCATTCCTGGCTACTCACCCTCCCTCTCCTTACACTGTGTGATAAAGTTCTGACACCCAAGACCCCTGCACAACATTTTAAAAAATGGAATGAATAATAGTAATACTTAGCTCCTCCTCTGTTCAAAATTTTGTGCAGATTTTATCATTAATCCTCACAATACCCCTGGGAGACTGAGGCAGGGACAATCAAGCCCACATTTTCAGACCTGCTAATTCAATAGTCATGACTAAGTCCATTCAAGGTAAATGCACATGCAGAATAAGTCACCTATTGATTCTACGGCCATTGGCATCAATGGGAGTTTTTCAGTTGTCTTCAATTGACTATGTATCAAGACCTAAGTGACATGCCCACAGGGAGACAGTCAACTTTAGAGTTCACGTGACTGACACCCAATCCCATGGTCAAACTAGACTATTCTTCCTTCAGTTACACATACCTTGATTGTTTGCATGTTTAAACACTGAAGCCATATATTTTGCAGGTATAATTTAAACAGTCACTAGTGAATTCACCCACAAAGCAGACATTGGTATTAAGAGAAATAAAGATCTACCTGATGCTGGCTGCTCTTTTACACGTCTACATTTAAACCACAAAGAATCAGGCAAACTGATTTCAGCTAAAACTAATCCAAAAACAATGTGGTGCTATTGTAAATGGAGTTATAAATGCTAGAAAACAGAGCTCATTACAATAGCAATTGATTGCCATGGGCTGGTCAATGGATTTTGTTCTACAGGTTGAACCTCTCTCGTCCAGAACTCTCTTAGCCAGAAATATTCATTATCCAGAATGGTTTTAGTTAGCCGGATGTCCACTTTTCATGGGTGTGGCCGAGTTTCCCGCAGTCCCATAATTTGTTTACAGCCACCAGTCCTGGCTCTCAGTGTTCTGTGCTATTATTTAGCTCTAATATACCACCAAATGTCCTTTTAAAAAGTAGTGGAAGTGTAGGTAATACTGCTAGAAAATACTGACCTCCCATGGTCCAGAAAACTCTTGTTTGGAACCGGTCGTTCTGGTCCTGAGGGTGCCAGACAAGAGAGGTTCAACCTGTAGCAGTGGATTCATCAATGGTGTGCATTCAAAACTCATGAGACAGGCCCTCCAAAGTTGTGGAAGTTGGAGAAAATAATACAGTACGGGTACTTTTTATTTGCCTCCTAGTTTCTGAATCTTTTGAATGAGTTCTGATCACATTTTCAAACATCTGTCTGCTACCAAGAGAACTAGAAACTAATTTTTGTTTTTACATGAAGCTGAGATTTTCACATGACTCTAGGGGCATGTCTACACTACAGAGTTTTGTCAGAAAAATGGTGGTTTTTCTTACAAAACTTGAAGAACGTCCACACTGCAATTGTATTCTTCTGCACGAAAAATCGAAAGAACAGAGGGGGTTTTCCGGCATTGGTAACCCTCATTCTACGAGGAAGAAGCCTTTTCTTTTTTGTGTGGATGGGGAAGAGGGAGTTCTTTCGGAAAAAGAGGAAAGAGGAAAAAGCACAGATGCCCTAGTGGCCACTCCATCCATCATAATCACAGCTTACATGCACGAGAGCATCCATTCAGTGTGGATGCTCTCTGTTGAAAAAGTAGATCACTTTTTCAATGCACTTTTGCAGTGTGGCCACTATCTTTCAGAAGTTTTTTCAGAAGATCTCTTCTGCAAAGAGTTTCTTCCGAACAAAGCCTGCAGTCTAGATGTAGCCTCGGAGCTGGACCTTTAATCAAAAACACCAAATATACTGAGCTGCCATTTTCCTTCTCTCCTGCAGGTGGTGCAGACACTGGCATTGGCCCTCTTTCTGACTGCTGGGACCTTGCTTTTTCTAGTATTCCCACCTATGATCTTCAGTTACGTAGAAGGGTGGAGCTATGGAGAAGGCTTCTACTTCACATTCATCACCCTCAGCACCATTGGATTTGGGGATTATGTAGTAGGTAATGAAGGGGGTGAGCTTGGATGAACTTTATAGGCCTGTGTTCTTAGACCACTGTAAATTGGGAGTAACTTTGCAGAAGTGAATGAGTTACATTAGTGCGAGTCCAGAATACGTGAGATCAGAATCGGGCCCTATGTCTCTACTGAGACTGCCAACAAGACGGCTAAGTTTTACCAATTGTAGTGCTGGATATGAAAACTTCCCCATTAAAAACTACACTAAGGCCCACCAATTTCATTTCACACAGCCCACTGAACACCGATTAGATAGTAACTGTTCCCAGCCTGGTTTAGAGTGAAAGACTAAAGAGGTGAAAGACTCTCTCTCACATAACCAATCCTTTGAGCTATCTAGTCCCAATTAATGCCACCTACATATGGAGTAAAGAAACCCTGACAAATATTTTTGGGAATCAGGCCATCTCTTAACATTGTACTGCCAGGAGTTCTCATTACAGGGTGAATACTAGTAGCAAGGAGAGACCCTTGTAAGAAGATGTATCAAATGGCAACATGCAATCTGCCAAGGCACTGGCTGTGCCCTAGAGTTGCGGCCAGAGAGGAAACCTTTCGCTGCACCATCTCACTCACACAATGTTCTTCACAGGCAAGGTATAGAATGTCCACGTGTGTAGAAAGGACAATAGGTTCTGTCAGCTTCTCTGGCGTTTATCCTCCCTTCACTTCCCAGAAGTTGTGTGTGCATTGAGAGCGTGTGAGGCCTTGCAGTAACACTATGGAGATCTGTGGAGCACTTGGCCCTCAGAGTCTCAGCAGAGTTGTTGACGGGAATACTGCCTGCAGTGCTTGGCCGATGAATTCATTCTCTAGAACTGCCAGATGGGTGTCAGTGACTCCCCCGGCCCCATAACTCCACATATGCAAAATGGCACTGGTAATACACTTCCGCAAATGCTCTCTGGCCCTCTCTGTCCAGAACTCAGGCTTTGTGCATAGTACAGAAAGAACCATGGGTGCAATGAATCATGTTTGTGGCTAAAATTATATTCTAACATGTTAGAGAGCCAGATGCAGACTAAAACATGCCTTTCTCATTTGGTTCTAACATGGTCATTTCCCATCAGAACGGGCTGGAATGAATCATTTTACATAACCCTGGTTAAGGTTAAACATCACGGGCTAACTGAAGTTTGATGAAAGTAACAGCTTGAAAGCATGGACAGGCCGCATGGGGAGTGAATCAGTCACATCAGTTTCTTGTCCTGTTTACCAGCTATATAGCAGGTATAGTAAAGTGGTCATGATAGAGTTGACTGGATTACCCAGAGCATATTAGGATGGAGCCATTCTTATTCATTATTCAATGGGAGTTTTCCCCTCACTCTGTGGTGATGCACTTAAATAAAGTAGCAAGTTCCCAGTCTATAGTTCTATATGTAGATGGGGCCTTAAAGTTTTTATCCAAGCCCCACCTCAGACACTGAAGGCAAGCTGTGCTGCTGTAGCACTTCAATGAAGACACTACTTTTGCCAACAAGAAGGTAATCCACATCCAACAAGAAGGTAATCCACATCCAACCACCAGAGGGAGTAATAGCTCAGTTGTTTGAGCATTGGCCTGCTAAACCCAGGGTTGTGAATTCAACCCTCAGAGGGCCATTTAGGGATCTGGAGCAACTCTGCTGGGGATGGTACTTGGCTCTGTGGTCAGAGCAGGCGACTGGACTCAAGGTCCCTTCCAGTTCTATGAGATAGGTATATCTCCATACATTAGATTATAGGTAATCCATGTCCCTAAGAAGCAGTGGATAGAAAAATTCTTCTGCTGTCTACACAGCCACTGAAGTTGGCTTAAGTACCCTGTTCAGGGGGTGAGGATTTTTCATAGCAACATAGTTAAGCTGACCTAATTTCTAGTGTAGGCCAGACCAAAGCAAGAAAACAAGAGAATCATTCTAGGATATAGGCCCACATCCACTAAGTATATTTTGTATGTGAATGTGTATAGCTCACATGATCTCCTAATAGGTCAGGCATTATTTGCATGAGGTTGTGTGTCTTGCATCCTGTTAGCCTGTTTGCCAGGCCCCGGGGTATAGTCTACTATGTGAAGTGTCTTGTTTTTTTTTCCAGGCACAGATCCTAACAAGCACTACATTTCAATGTACAGGAGCCTAGCAGCGATTTGGATTGTTTTTGGCTTGGCCTGGCTTGCTCTGGTCTTTAACCTGGGAGCTGACCTGATGGAAAAATTCCTTCAGCTAAAGTGGCATAAGCCTGGTACCACAGAAGAAGTCATTACCAAGATGGAGGATGACCCTGATCAACCCAGAATCCACATACCTAGCTGAGAGAGCACTTTAGAAAGAGCAAGTCTCTCCTGCTGCTACCTCACACACACCAAGCAAGCTTTCTGGGTAAGAGATTGCTGCATCTAAGCCACAGGTTGCAGACCATCTCCAAGGGAGAAGATAATTTCAGAAGAAAAGAAGTATAAAGGCAGCAGCCAAATGAAAACCTTGGACAAAGTGGAACTGTAAAACATCACTCACTTTCCAGTCAATAACCCCCTTGTGCAATTTCTCAAAAAATAATTACTATCCCCCCTCTGATTTGATCTTTATCTACTAGCATGGAATTCTGTTGATCTGTGGCTTTCAGAAATCCATGGTGACTGCCTTGCTGCTAGGCTGAGAAATACTTGATATTAAGGGAGCTGAGCTTGAAAACTTTGAGTAGAAATCACCCTTCGCATCCAAGCAGACACAATGAGAGAAACTTGACCAATTCTGGTCACATTCAGCAAAGGAAGCTTTTTCTGAAACCTCTTGGCAGACTTTGTCCAATATGTTCAGGGATTACATTTCAATTGTCCTCCAGCAGGGCTGAAAAGCTTTCCCTAAAATTGTTTAGAAACACTGTGCCCATTTCAGAGCTGTTTGCATTGTAATTGCTTAATCTACAATAAACAGAAATCCAATAGCAAATTCTGATCTCAGCTCATTTCCCAAGTCCTTTGGTAATACCAGTCCCTTGATCAGGGACGGTTGATAGAAGCAGACGCTGTTCCATGCATAGCCTTAGTTGGTCAGAACAGGCAGTCTGATTTTCTCACAATTGCTATCAACCAAGAGTAACAGCTATTACATTGGTCAAGCAAAATGAAAGCCACACACATCTAGAACAATCCTGTTGCCGAAACGTAGAAATATTGGGTCACACATACAACAAACTTTATAGAGTGTCAGTCAATGACATCTTCTACAGATATGCTCGCAATCATTATGATGTGCTACTCCTGTCTGTGACATGCTAACAATATAAACTAATAATTTATTAACCCTTCATCACCTCTTCTAAATGGAACCTTCATGTACAGTTTGCTCCAAACACAATCTGACTGACAGAGTTAACCAGCAGTGGCCCATGATTTATTGATTACAGTTCACCATATGACAGCCTCTCAACTAGAAACTTGGATATTTCACTGTGGGAAAGATGTCAATAAAATCTGCCACAAATTGTGCTTCCTGGAGAAGGTGTGCAACTCATCCCAAGCATCTGCTCTGCTGGATTCTGTGTTCCGAGAAGATTCACAACAAAGGTTTCATCTGGCATCTTACCCGGTACCTGTTTTCCCCACTGGTGGATAGAACCTGGAGACTTCATAATGGGTGCTCAAGTCTGAAATGCTGGCGAATAAGGGTGGAGAGTTCCCAGTTATTGGGCTTGCGAAGTAAACCCCATGACAACATCACCCCATTCTCACCTTGCTACAACCTACTACAGGCAGTCCCTGGGTTACGTACAAGATAGGGACTGTAGGTTTGTTCTTAAGTTGAATCTGTATGTAAGTCGGAACTGGCGTCCAGATTCAGCCGCTGCTGAAACTGATCAGTTTCAACAGCGGCTGA